TCTCCATCTCGCATATGAAAGAGTGTTTGTGCGCTTCTTATGCTGAGCTACGAGGCCCATGCTGAGCAGCAGATCTCCAAAGAAAAGCAAGAAGGAGATAGGATGGGCTTTGGTACAATTTAAAACAGTGCTGAGGCCAGTCCCAAACAGGTCTGTTGTGTTTCTTTGTTTTCAGAAAGTTTCAGAGCATCAACATAAAGAAGTATTCAGATTAAAATGGCTTAATTGAAAGCAGAATTTTTCACCTTTGACCTAGGAATTTAGTCCAAGTTTAGTAAAAAGAAAACATAGCAGTGTCTCCAATGTGCTTGTGACACAGTGAACAAACTGAAGATTGCTGTGTATAATCTTCCCCACCTGGAATTTTTTATTTTGTAGCGTCTAGTATGGACATGGACATTACTCTCTACATTAAACATTTTAGGTACTTGTTATAGAGTGCTAAGTATGAAACCCTGTTCACAGCGGCACCAATCAGGCATAGAAGATTGGAGCTGATGATGCAGACCTGTGCCTAATTTGTGGGTGGGGCAGGGCAGAAAGGCTAAATAAACCATTAGCCCAGTGGTGAGCAGCCTGCGGGTTGCATGCAGCCCATCTGGGTAATCCGCAGGCTTGGCCGCCCGCAGCTCCCAGTGGCCACGGTTCGCTGTTCCCGATCAATGGCAGTGAGGGGGAGACAGAGATTGCTTTCCCCCTGCTTGTAAAGGTGCTAGGTTTGGTGGCACTCAATTGTAAATAAACTGCACAGGGTGTTGAACCAGTACAAGGGTCTCTTCGTGCTTTGTCGACTGAGACAGAAGCAGGACCGAGGAGGCCCTGTTACAGTACTGTTTGAAGTGTTGAGGGTGGATGGTGGGAAAATCTCATTAGACAGCTTCGTCTCTTAACATATTGCTGAAGGTGCAACTTACCAATGGAAGTTAAGAGGTGTTAAGTAAAATACACTATTGTTAGCTTTTAAAGAACCATTCCTTAACAATTGATATGTATAAAAATAACTGTACTTATATTTGCCCCAGCCTTTTTCAAGTATTCCATAATACTTTGACACAGCTTCTCAGATCACAGAGGTATTCATTTTAAGGTAAATTTTGAGTACTCAATTTGAAAAGAAATCTGAATTATTCAAATATTTAAACTATTGTGAATCTTTTAGTTCCAGGCATTGAAACCTGATGTGGTTGTGCCTCATCAGTAAAGAAATGTGACTCAGTTAGATGCAAGCTTTTAATATATTGTTTAGGATTAAAAAAATTTAAATGATGTATTGGAAATCCATACAGAACAAAAATGTGTGACTCCATACAGAATAAAAATAAATTAAGTGGCTGTGGCTTTAATGTGGAGTGCAAAGTTTAAATGAACATATTTCTTAGTAAATTGGGGCTATGTCATGTCAGTTTCTTCTATAAGCATAATTCCCTTTTCAAATCAATAGCACATTCGGCATTAAAAATCAGTGGCACGTTACCTATGATAATTAAGTACACAACTTTAGGTAACTATGCATTTGTATTAAGATGCTTTCAGATCCAAGGCTAACTATGTACTTCCCTGTTTTCAGTATTCGGCTTTAATTAAATGTTTCAGAATTGTGTCCCCCTTTTTTAAAAAATAGCAAACAAATCCCTTTTTTAAATCTCCAGAACCATGCATTGAGTGGTGATTGTGGGTACTGTCTGTATTGTTCTGTTCAGTTTATCTCTGTGCACGGTTGTGCTGAATGCTCTGAAACAGGATGTGTTTTTGCTATGTTGTGAACTTTGTAGATAAATCTAATAACTTGTTCCGGCTGGGATTTTGTATTTCTAAATTATACCTATAGCATACTATAAGTGCAGCAATACTATAAGTGCAGTTGTGAGTTTAAAAATCAAGTTAAATGTTTTCATGTTCCATTTGATGGAAATAAATAGACAAATTAATTAATTAAAAAATCTAATTATAGGAAGGGTAACTGATTTGTTGCCTGATAAATGAAATTGAACCCCATCTCTTCAAAATCATAGTAGACCAGCATCCTTCTCCTCCTCTACCACCACTGCTTCCTCTTCCTCCCCTGCCTGGGTGGCACCGATGACCTGCAACAGTCACGGAAACCTCTGTGCAGTCACTGAAACCCTGATTCCAGCCTAGTAAGGTGGGAGTCCCTTGGCAGGGGGAGGTAGTTGGAGAGTGAGCCTGCCCCGCACTTACCCTGCAGCGGTGACTCCCATCCTGTGGGGCTGGGTCCAGGGGTTGAGAGAGAGCCTACCCCATGCTCCCTCCAGGCAGCAACAGCACCTGTGTCCGGTGAGAATGTGCCTAAGCATTGAGAGCGAGCCCACTCCACACTTACCAGGTCACAATGCCACTCATTCAAATTTGGCCAGGCTGCACCCTTGTTATGATGGAAGGGCAGCAGGGCAACCCTATGTGCCAGGTTGCAACACGGAGTGAGGAGCTGGGCCCAGTCCTGTGGGACACAGGAGCTGCCACTGTGGAGTGAGTGCAGAGCAGTCTGGCTCTCCAACATGTCCCTGTCCCTCCACTCAGTGCCACCCTCAGCACTAGACTGGTGGGGGCAACCCACCTAGAGCCTTCCCACACGGACAAACAGAGAAGTGTCAGTATCAGGGAGTTTTTTCACTTCTGTGACAAACTTGCAGCCCTAATGATAGGCAAGCGTAAGTTCTATAAATACATGTTAGAGAATGGCTCTGTGTCAATTTGTGATTCTATTTTTGTTTCTATTCAGTACTTCAGAATTATCATTTCTATTGTAATTGTTCAAGTTTGGCCACATATGGGTGTGTCTGCTTTTTGTATTAACTTTTTTAAGAAGAAAAAGTGTGTGTGTGAGATTAATTTCCAAAGCTGACCTGTTACATAGTAATGTCTTCTGGCAGCACTGTAAATAGTGTTTATCTCAGGAAATGGCTATAGTTAACCTAGGTGAAATAGGTAAAATGAATAAAAACTCTATAAATACAAATACACAAACTTTCTATTGACACAGTACCACACATAAACCATTATGACTGACGTGCCAGATGTCCTATTTAGACCTTTTTTACACCATGATTTAATTGAAACTGCTCTGAAATATTTTGAATAAGCAAGTCTGTGTCATGCTTGTTCAAACACGTGCAATTCTTTAGCTTTCACGGTATATTTTAAATACAGCACCACCATAACATCTCCAATCGACATGTGTTTCTGGAAAATAGATCCTGTCAGACTAAATTGATACCTGTTTTTTTTTATAAGATTACAAGACTGGCTGATAAAGGCAATAGTGTTAATATATTATACTTAGGTATCTCTAAGGCATTTGACTCGGCACCACATGACTTTTTAATTTTAAACTACAACCATACAGATTAACATGACACACATTAAATGGATTAAAAGATGGCTAACTGTCAGGTCATGAAATATAATTGTAAGCAGGGACTTATCATCCAACAAGTGTGTTTCTAGTGGGTTCGTGCAGGGATTGGTTCTTGTCCCTATGCTAATTAACATTTTTATCAGTGACCTAGAAGAATACAGAAAATCACAATTAATAAAGTTTGCGGATGACACAAAAACTATGGGAGTGGTAAATAATGAAGAGCTGATTCAGTTGCTGATTCAGAGCGGGCTGGATCACTTGGAGAACTTTGTGCAAGCAACTTTACGCCTTTTAATACAGCCAAATGTAGAGAAACACATATAAGAACAAACAGTGTAGGCCCTGCTTACAAAATGGGGGACCCTCTCCCAGGAAGTAGTGACTCCAATACAGACTTGGGGGTCATGGTGGATAATATGCTGAACATATGTGTGATGCTGTGACCAAAAGACCTAATTCAGTCCATAGATGTATAAACAGAGGAATCTCAAGTAGGAGTACGGCCGTTATATCACCTCTGTGTTTGCCATTGGTGCCACCACTGCTGGAATACTTTGTCCAATTCTGGGGACAATTCTGGGTCTTCAATTCAAGAAGGATGTTGATAAATTGGAGAGGGTTCAGCAAAGAGCCCTGAGAATGATTAAATTATTGGAAAACATGCCTTACAGTGGTAAGACTCAAGGAGCTCTATCTAATGCGTTTAACAAAGAGATAGTTCAGGTGACTTGTTCACAGTTTATAAGTACCTGCATGGGGATAAAAATTTGATAATCGGCTCCTCAGTCCAGCAAACAAAGGTATAACAAGATCCAATGGCTGGAAGTTGAAACTAGACAAATTCAGGCTGGAAAAAGTTGTAATTTTTTAACAGTGACAATAATTAACCTTGGAACAACTTAACAGCAATTTTTAAATCAAGATTGGATGTTTTTCTGAAATACATGATCTGGTTCAAACAGGAATTAAATCAGGGAATTCCTGTGGCCCGTTTTATACAGGTCGGGTTAGATCAGTGGTAGGCAATCTGCGGCCCACGGGCTGCACGCGTCCCATCAGGGTAATCTGCTGGCGAGCTGTTAGACAGTTTGTTTACATTGACTGTCCAAAGGCATGGCCGCCCGCAGCTTTCTGTTAACTTTTTGTAGCCTGCCTAGCCTTTAGTAGTCTATGTCTTCTTCTAAATTATGTTTGGTAAAAATCTGATTTTAAAATAAAAGTTTTTGGACTATCGGAGTTTCTTTTTCTTTCTTTCTTTGATCCCTGGCTGTCTCCACTCTCATTTCATTTTGTCTGTCTAGCTTTCTACCTCTTTTGATCTCAAAGTATTCCTAAAATATTTATATTGTCCACTAGACTTTTTGGAATACCATAGCATAACATACTGCATATTCACAGCAGCAGATATCTGCATCAGACCTTACTGGAGAACTTATTAAAATTGACTATGCAGGAGGTGCTACTGAGAAAGTACTTCCGTACAGGGGCTCAGCAATACTATAATTCTTACAGAGTTTCAAATGAAGTTGTCCCACTGGTGTTAACTGCTACTTTTATAACAAACACTACGGCAAGATGCATTCCATGAAATAATACATATACTAATTTTTGTCATCCCTAGGTGGGAAAAATCTGTGCATGCAAGAGTGTCCCAATGAGTTCCTAAATGCTTCATTCTTTGCACATCTGTATGTATGTCTGTACAGTTCTTTACTAACAGCCCTCAATATAAGGCCTACCTACTTCTCAGAGGTAAGTATTATTAGCAGTTTACATCTGGAAGAATTGAGACAGAGAGAGGTTAAGGGTGTGTCTGCCCTACAGAGGAACAGCTATGGTTATGCAGGAATGCCACTCTAGCGCTGCAGTGTAAATGCTTCCTACAATGACGGAAAGGGTCTTTCTGCTGATGTGGTTAATCCACCTCTCTGAGAAGTGGTAGATAGGTTGACAGAAGAATTCATCCATCAACCTAGTTGCAGCAATACTGTGGTTAGGTCAACCTAACTGTGGTGTTTAGGGTGCCAAATTTTTCACAGCCCTGCGATGAGGCTAGGTCAATATAATTTTTAACTTAAACCAAGTCACTGGACTTCTCAGTGCAGACTGGTCCAGTACGTAATAGGACTTAATAAAAAGCCCATTGAAATCAATTTCAGTTAAATTCAGTATTTCAGTTGAATTCAGTGGGCTACAGGCCAGGACCATAATTCATTTGATCACGTTGCTTGTTCATGGGTGAATAAACTGGTGCCCTGGGACATACCAGGGTTAATCCTGCACAAGTTTTTATAACTTCAAGACATGACCATCATTCTCATGATATGCTTTATTAATCTGATAAATATATTTAACTACCAAAAGTTGTAGACCTATAATCCATAAGGTTTCTGTGCTAAAACAGTGTTCACAGTTGCAGTGGAAAGTGGCAGATCTTTCTTTCTAGACTAGCATGGGAAAATATTGGCAACTAAAGCATTTTAAAATATAGCGATGTCATTTTGTGACAGTTCTCTTGTATTCTTTACAATATGGTAGTTACTTTAGTGTTGTTTGATAATGTTGGAGTTTTCTCAAGATATATTAGCCTGAAATTCCAAGGTAAGGTTCCACTTTGCAAAAATCCTCTAATAATCAAAAGTATGCTAATGCACAGTTTAAATAAATCCAAACAAGAACTACTCTGCTCCCATAGTGGCACTCAGAACCAAGAACGATTCAGAGATGACCTTTTCCTCTCTTCCCACCAGTTCCTTTCATTAGAGGCTTCAAAATTAATACTTTATTCTTAAACTTGGTGAAACTTTGTGATAAAGTTTTTGCAGATGTGTTTTGTCTGCTCTCAGGGTGCTCCAAGAGGGTCAGAATTAGGATAGTTTGGATGATCGTACTCTGCACATGCTTAATTTCAAATATGTTTGATTTTTGTAGAGTAGAACCTTAACTTACAATTTACAAACATGTTACAAACATTCTTAGCATTTGAGAGTGGAGGGAGCAGGGAGAATTAAGAAATCCAGAAACTTAATTTATAAATGCTGTAAATGATAGATTCATTCAGTGTTTTTTTGCTTGAGTATTTCCTTAGATTTTAAAAAATGTTTAAGAATTGCTCAGTAGTAGAAATACCTGTAAACCTTGGAAGCCAGTCATAGATCCGAGCTGTGTTGGAATGTAAGCTGGACCAGACAGCCTCCAACTTTCATAAGTGGCTACCTCCTTCCTATTCCCCATCTTGGCCTTTCATCCAATATACAGCTTTCCTTTTCCTGTGGTCCCAACGTAGTTTTCTACTAGCTACTCCCTACTTTGCCACTTGTGAGTAATTCTGCTTTCGCAAACTCATTCTAATAAAAATTATACCATACCATATCATTATGTATTTTACTTAATACATATTTAAGTATTTTCACAACACCACCTTTAAATGTCTCTATAATTCCTACATGCACGCCCTCAAACCTGTGAAAGCTCCTACTTAACATCAATGAAGTTTGATGTTCCTGGATGCACCTATTTTAAAGAAATGATGACCCTAAAGGGAGTTGGGAGAACCTTTGAAAAGTGAATGAAAGGAATTTTTTGTAAATACCATATCTCTGAATTTCCTTGTTTGATTTGCCTTTAAAAAAAAAAAAGTTACCTTGCAATAAGATGTGAAGGAGATTGTTTTGGTTTTGTTATTGTTACTAATATTGTCTTGTTATAACTTATAAGTCCAATTCTGTGAATGAAACTCTCATTTCACTCTTAACTACTGCTCCTTAATGACAAGAAAATGTTTTTTATGGTTATCTCTTCCTGTAGCCACATGGTTTTTCTTAACATGTTCTTTAAATTAAAAGGCATTTTTAAGTGTGACAGAAATCCTATAATTAATGTTTGGGCATGATCCTGCAGCCCTTACTAACTTGGGGAGCTCCATTTGTAATCATTTATACCAAAAAATTAAGGTTGGTTGTTAGTAACTGAGTGAATGTAGTTGTGGTACACAAATTATAAAGGCATATTACAAGGCTGCATGGCTCATGAGTAAGGAGAGGCATGTAGCTGTGCTGCTTCATGAGGAGCCCTGGGAACCAATTCTCTGGGTAGGGAGTAGGGGGGAAGTAACTTATTGTAGCCCTATACCTGGTGCTGCCCCTTGTATCATTTCATCTCAGTTGAGGGTAGGGGAGAGGGGATGGAGCCAAGGCTCCACCTACTCCCCACTCCTCTGTCTACATACTCTTGGGGTGGGGAAGGAAGGAGAGGGAAATGGGTAGTATTGAGCAGGTACACCTTGCTCTCTCTGCTCTCCACCCCCCATGGCTGGACCTGTGATGTGGGAACCAAAGAGGCTGGGCACACAGAGTGAGTGAAGGTCTCTTAGGGCTTATCTACACAGGAAAGTTTCCTCATGGCCACGTTAGGACCAGTCACAATCTAGCCCTGGACTAGGAAGCTTGTTGTACCCATTATCATCCTCAACAATTAGTCAGCTTCCCCTGTGTTGGGTTGGTCTTTCACATAGCAAAGGAGAGAGGAAAATTATATATAAAAACTAAAAAGTGATTTTAAAACCAGAACAACTGGCAGGCAGATGTTGTACTTTTAAGTCATTTATTGAACTTGACTGGATTTCCTAAGTACAGCTTTGCATTCATTTGGTGCCCAACTGTAGTTTTCGTTTAAAATGTTTCTTTTGTGAAGTTAAATGTCTTTTTATTTGTTTCCAGGAAATGGCTCTTGAAGTTAAATGAGGCTGGATAAAATATATACATGAAGCAGAGGCTGCTCTACATGTGTTAAGGCTAAAATACAAGAAGAGTTTTTGATCAGCCAGACTTGGTAACTTGTCATAATGAAGAAAATTAGTCTCAAAACAATTCGCAAGTCCTTTAACTTAAATAAAAGCAAAGAAGAAAGTGACTTTGTAGTGGTTCAGCAGCCATCATTAAGTGAATTTGGAAAAGATGACTCCTTGTTTGGCAGCTGCTATGGTAAAGATTTGGCTAGCTGTGAAGTTAACAGTGAAGATGAAAAAGGTGGCAAAAATAGATCAAAAAGTGAAAGCTTAATGGGTACTTTAAAAAGAAGGCTTTCAGCAAAACAAAAGCAGAAAGGGAAAGGCAGCACGCCATCTGTAAGCTCTGCTGATGACGATACCTTTTCTTCCTCATCTGCTCCAATAACCTTTAAAGATGTGAGAGCTCAAAGACCTCTAAGATCCACATCCCTCCGTAACCATCATTACAGTCCAACACCATGGCCTCTTCGATCGACAAACTCAGAAGAGACTTGTATCAAAATGGAAGTGAAAGTCAAGGCCTTGGTCCACTCCTCTAACCCAAGCCCAGCACTGAATGGTGTTCGAAAGGACTTCCATGACTTGCAGTCAGATAGTGTGTTTCAAGAACAAAACAATACATTAAAAAGTACAGAATCCCAGAATGGGGACCTACATCTTCATATTGATGAACACGTGCCTGTAGTTATTGGACTAATGCCTCAGGACTACATTCAGTATACTGTGCCTTTAGATGAGGGAATGTATCCTTTGGAAGGATCACGTAGTTACTGTCTGGATAGTTCCTCACCCATGGAAGTTTCAACTGTTTCTTCTCAAGTGGGCGGAAATGCTTTTCATGAAGATGAGGGTCAGGTGGATCAAGATGTAGTTGTTGCTCCAGATATCTTTGTGGACCAGGCAGTGAATGGTTTGTTGATTGGTACCACAGGAGTCATGTTGCAAAGCCCAAGAGTTAATCACAGTGATGTCCCTCCACTTTCACCATTGCTACCTCCAATGCAGAATAATCAAATCCAAAGGAACTTCAATGGACTGAATGGCACAGATGCCCATGTGGCTGAAAGTATGCGCTGCCATTTGAATTTTGACCCTAACTCTGCCCCAGGAGTTGGAAGAGTCTATGACTCTGTACAAAATAGTGGTCCTATGGTTGTGACGAGCCTCACAGAGGAACTGAAAAAACTTGCAAAACAAGGATGGTACTGGGGCCCTATCACACGTTGGGAGGCAGAGGGAAAACTGGCGAATGTGCCCGATGGTTCATTTCTTGTTCGAGATAGCTCTGATGACCGTTATCTTTTAAGCCTGAGTTTTCGCTCCCATGGTAAAACTCTTCATACTAGAATTGAACATTCAAACGGTAGGTTTAGCTTTTATGAACAACCAGATGTGGAGGGCCATACTTCTATTGTTGATCTAATTGAACATTCAATCAGGGACTCTGAAAATGGAGCTTTTTGCTATTCAAGGTCTCGATTGCCTGGATCTGCTACTTACCCAGTGAGATTGACAAACCCAGTATCTCGGTTTATGCAGGTGCGTTCCTTACAGTACCTGTGTCGTTTTGTTATACGTCAGTATACCAGAATAGACCTGATCCAGAAACTGCCTTTGCCAAACAAAATGAAGGATTATTTACAAGAAAAGCACTACTGAAAGCTTATGGGAATCTTGCATCTTGCACTTTGGGAACAAAAAAAAGATTGAAATACAGTTTACAAATTTTCATTGCTATCAAAATCTTTTGCTGCCATAACAATGTTTCATTTTTGTGTGTAAAGAAGGGTAATGCATCTTTTTTGTTTGTTTATGTTTGGTGTTTTTTGTTTGTTTGAGGGGGCTTTCTTTTTTTTTAAAAAAAGAATGATCTCAAGGTTTTTAGAAGTGTGAAATATCTATCTTTCATCAATGTGCAGAAAATAATCTCAATGTGAATGATCAGATTCTCCTTAATTTCCCCAAGTTCTTTGCTGCTATCCACTGTGATTTTTATGCATTCAGAGTGCATTTCATGTGTATTCAACAATAAGTAAAAGTGAAATGAAACTTGTAGAATGGAATTTTTGTCTTCTTAAAATGGCCTATTTTATAAAGATAATTGTGGACAAAACATACAGGTAGATAAATTACAGAATGTAGTGAAAATGATTTCCCAGCATCCTAAATGAACATCTCCATAGAACTGCCCTAATTTCAAACTTATTAATTGATGTAGCTGTGTGATGGAATATAGTTATGCAGCATATCTTTGGAAACCTCCTTTCTCCTAAATGATTTCATAGTTTGTACACGCTATTTTGCCTTTGAGAAATTGGGTTGAATTTTCTTTTTATTGGAATTTCCTTATAATTTTTTCTTCTCCTTTTAAAAACAGCCTTTAAAAACAGTTTTGAAAAACAGAGCATCAATATGGAAATTGTAGTATTTAAGATAAGTGCTAAACATGGATTACTAATGGCACTGTTGAAAAAAAAATCTACAAATCTCCCTAATTGTAGGAACTATCAATTAAAGTGATAATGTGACGAGACCTCTTAAAGCCAATTTCTACACTACAGTTGGTTTTGGTTTGCCCCCCCCCTTCTCTTTTCTCTCTTGCATTTTGATAGCTAGCTAGGATTTGATTCTGGGATTTTTGGGGGGAGTGGGGGAGGTCTTAAACAAATTATCCCCAAGGCTGCATTTTTTTTAACCTTTGTATATTTGAAATTAGAAGGAGAAGGGGTTTTGGTTTAATACAGTGGCCACAGAAAAATGCTTTGTTACTAACAGTCCCAGGCGCTGTCATGAAAATTGACTGATTTGACATAAAGGTATCATATCTATTTAGTAAATATTTCTAACATCTGACAAGGATAGTGGCATTTGAAAAGTCTAAGGGGAGCCTGACTTTCTAAAAGAGATTTCTGAATTGGGAGACTGGGCCCTAGATTGCAAAGTTTTCTTTGTGCAATATTCATCATATTGGTGTTTCCCTTTATAGCTATATTACATTTGTGTTTTCAATTTTAAAAGTGACCATGACTAACTTTGTTTTTTTGTTTTGTTTTTAAATCAATGTTATATTTTTAGCATGTCACCTTCTCCATCAGCAGTTGGCAGGAGTTTCTATTTAGTAAAGACCAACATAGGAAAAGGCTGGGATAAATCCTTTTTGGATCATTTTCTTCTGCTTATTCTATCTAGCTTTTTTGCCTGTGAAATGAGTTTGTAGCATTGGATACACTATTGCCGCCAAGTGCTATAGTAGCACTTACATCTTGGGTTGCCTGAATTGATATGCTAAATTTATATATTTTTTTTTAATTTATTTTTTGGACCACAGTATTTAAAAAAAAAAAATCAAAGGCAGATAAAGCCTGTCTGTTCTGAGGGATAGAGGATAATGATTTCTTCTTTTGTCCAATAATATTTTTAAACTTAAAAAAATATTCTCAGAAAAGTATATATGTTTAATTTGTTGTCTCTGCCATTCACATATATTTATGCAAGTTTGAATCCAGATTTTTCTCTTCTGGAGGTTTTTTTCTTCTTTGAATCAGGGCTACAAACTTTATTAAAAAAGGCACAATAATCTTATAGCTTGGTACAGTGTTCTGATTCTATCTGAGAGGAGGACAGAGGAAATAATTTTTATGGAATATGAAACATACTTGTGAGGATGAAACCTCTCACATTTTTTTCACTTTAAAAGTTCTTCCCCCATGCAGTCCAGAGGGACCGTACATTGTACAAAGTCTCTGGAATGGTGTAGTACATTAGGCAATTATATAAAATTAGTGAAATATATCCCAGTGTTTAACAAACTGAAAGATGCATTTAAAATATGCTTTGTGCATAAGTATTTAATGGACCTTGTATAAGGGCTTACACATGTGAAACTCTAATATCCCAATTTCATTGCTCTGTTGAGAAAATGTATATGAACTTGTGTGCCAAGTTTCTTTTCCATGTCTTCATTTATTTGTTTGGTCACCTATAAGAGTTGGTTACTTTTGAAATATTACCTTTGATTAAAATCATCCAGTCCATTTTGAGTTGCCTTCCTTGCTGTGTACTTTAATTGTAAACTTAGTAAAAGGTCCAGTTCTAATTGCCACTTTTGGACGAGCTTTCCATAGGTTTGATTAAAAGGACCCTGACAAGTAATTTAGACCTAAGAGATGACCTGCCTAGACTTTTTTTTGTAATCTGATGCTGTAGTGTCCTAAATTTCAAATATTTTGAAATCCACCATTCTGTAAAGACATATTTTTTTAAAAACTGATGGATTCAGAATCTCTCTCTTTTTGTTACTGAAGCAGTCTTCCAGCCAATAGTAGGAGCACAAATTAAGAAACCCTGTTTTGAAAACATTGACTTATAGTTGCTTATTGTAGCGATTACTGTGACAGCCACAGTAACGTTGTTTAGTTACAAGGCAACTGAAAATTATTAAGAGGCAGCAACTGTAATCAGGAAAGACTGTGTTGGTTTGTGCTCCATAACAAATAGAGGAACAAAATCTGTGTTTGCCAAATGGAAGAAAACAAAAATGGTAGGTTGAGGAAAACGTTATTTTCAGGCCTTTAAAGGAAGATAAACAAAGATTAAATAAAAATAAAAATGACTTGACTCTGTTCCTTTAAAGTAAAACAGTGTTTATTTTAGTCAGCACAACAGTCAGACTTGCAACGGAATTGTTGCAAAATGTATTTGAAGATGAAACTTTGAAATAAAATTTATTTCTGAAGCTACAAGATGATGATGGAAGTTATTGGTGACACTGACTGCTTTACTAATTAGAAGAATAAAACTACAGCTTGTATTTCGATATTATGTCAAAGGTTTTTTTCTGATTCTTACAACAGTGTTAATTGAAGCTAATTAAATAGCAAAATTGAAGTTTCTTTTTATTCTTTGGTCAGGTTGCAGGTCCTTTATGCTGCTGCTGACATAAATTAATACCATCCTTTTTATCAAGGTGGTTTCCACCATTAGTAGCCTTGGAAATGCTATGATTAATTAGAAATTTTATTTTCAAATATATACATTTCATAGTCTGATCATGCTGAGAGGTGCTTTTATATGAACATTGACTGCTGGGCTAATGAAAATATGAGAAGTTTTTCTTCTCTGCATTTCATACTGTGTGAATTCTGGCTATGTAAATTAAATCATAATACCAGCAATATATTGCCTGTAATTCCAGTAAGGAATGGTTCTCAGTTACATAACTTTTAAATTCTAAGCTAAATGATGGGTACAATATTGATTGCCAATCTTATTTCTTTTAATACTTTTTAAAATTCTACAGAGAAAAATATTAAAAACATTCTTTATTAATAGACATGGGATAGTTAATAGCTCATAACATCACAAAATATTATGGAGTTTGCTCTTTCTGGAAAGTGTTCTAAACCCTAAACACGGATAATGAAAAAAATTCTTACAGAATTTTGTATTAATACATGTTGGGTTAAAGAATTTTATAGTGGTGATGGAGTGCCATGAAATTAATACTTGCAATCCAGATTGCTGTAGTTTACATTTTTCTGTATGTTTCAAGCTAGGTGTGCGTTATTTGTACTAAGCACACCAAAGAATGAATTATCCAAAGTCCATTGATTTTAATGTGTTTTGGTTTGTAAACAAAATTATAGTAATTTCTTGCACATTTTTGAAAAATAATTGTATAAGGATTTATGTATCTGCTTCTAGATACAGTGTGTAAATAAAAATTTCATTCACAAGAGAATCTGTGGAGTATTCAATAAACAAAATGAAATCCTGAATCAAATATTGAAAATTTTTTGGGGGGAGGCGTGATAGCTGACTTATATCCGTATCAATAAGATGTTGAGCTATCATTTGCTTGTGATCAGAATATAGCTGCAATTTTTCCTGCTATTAAGGTGCTTGTATCTCTGGCTATCATTTTTGCTTTCCAGAAGGTTGCCAGTATATAATTAAAATATGGTGTTTATTGAGCATGCACACTTTAGATAGCTTTGGCTATCACTGTTTCCTGTGGTGGTGCTGCTTTCAATTTTTTAGTGTAAACGCTCCAAAAAAAAGCTTGCCTTGAATGGTGCCTTTTTTTTTTCCTAAAAAAAGTGAGAGTTCATAATTTTTAGGAAAGCCATCAAGTAGTTTGAGTGTGAGCTCCAAAATTGAAGTTAAAAAAGGTACAAAATACATAATCACTAGTTTATTTGGTGCTATTTAGGTTAGTTAAGGTAGTAGGATGTTTAAATCAGGGAATGCATACAAAATTTCAAAAATATTACAGCATTAACAATTTGTATTATATAAATAATTGGTATGTCTATAAAAATGATATACATAACAAGTTTTCATTTTTTTGTTTTCTCCCTACAGACTTGGTACTCAGTTTCCCAAAACCACAGCTTTAATATATATTTCAATGGCTTTTTTTCTGTTGTTTTTAAACTTACAATTAAAAGAAAACACATTATTGTAGCAGCTAATACTGTCAGTCTTTGAGTGGGTGTGGGGAAGGGGTGAAGAAGCTTTCCCTTTGTTGAGGTCAAAGGTGATTGGAACTTAAAATTCCTATTTAGCCACTGCTATTGCAAGAATCATTTGGGATTTGATTATATACTGACAAATGTAGTTGCACATTTCTGCCTGTCTCTTAAGTCAGCTGTTGTTTTTGTTCACATGTTCTAGTTGATTTTAAAGGTACTGTGTGATATGTGGTTGTGTTGTCTATCTACATCAAGTCCTTTACACTTCACTTTTAAAAATACCAGGTCAAATTTAGCTCTAATGTAAGCATTAAGCATTCTCAGTTCCACTGAAGCTAGCGAACTTACTGCCACTTACGCCAGGGTGAATTTAGTCCAATAAGATCACAACTGTGTCAGCTTGTGGATAAATGTGTATTTAAATTTGGGTAAGGGATGGGGTTGGGATTGTTATTAGTGCAATTATAAATTTGAAAATGACTCTATAGGATTGAAATGTTTATAATTGAGATGCTCATGCTCCCAGTCTTGTCCATATTATGTATCTTCTTTGTTTTAAACATGGGAGAATGGATGAAAAAAGCCTACCCTCAGGGGTAGATGCCTCACCACATGAAACATGGAATAAAGCTTAAGTGCTTTAACTTTGAGTGCTGTTTCTCCCATAAGTACTAAAGATTTCTATGAGATCTGTGGCTTTGTCACTCATGAGATCTTCTTCTCTCATTTGAGGTATAAGTCTCACTTAATCTGTTTCCTTTGTATATGGTAATAGTAGTTTTTAGTTCTATATGTGTAACTTTTTTGTTTTTCTTTAGTACACTTTGCCTTGTTACCACTAACAGCTTTTCACTTTTTAGATTTTGGGTTCTCTGTTAGGCCTGATTCAGCAAAGCAGTTAAGCATGTGTTTAAATACATCGCTGTTCAGAACAGAGCTTAAGTCCCATAGACTTAAAAGGAACATAAGCATAGTCTTAAATTCTGTCCTGAATGAGGATGCTTTCTTGAATATGTTTTGTGTTTTTTATTTTAAACCAAACTCCTACTGTCCACAGTAGCACTTGTATCCTTATGTCTTCTAAGTGTGTTATACATTAGAAAATTGATTCTGCTGTTTCCTCTCATCAAAAGCCATTCAGAGTGGGAATGGGATTACATAGGGAAAATAAAAGTTAAATATTTTCTTGAAGAAGGGGGGATGACTCAGAAACACTATGTATTCTGCACCCTCAACATGGAGCATGTGACTCTAGCTAGCCAACTTGCCAGTTACCTTTACTGAATCACCTAAAGTACTAATGCAGCACTGGGGTCCTTGGCAGGCTAACTGGCCCTCTTCTTATGGTTGTTTGTAAAGGCAGTAAATTCAAGCGATACCTTCCAAAATGGGCAAGAAGAGGCAGACCCAGCTTTGCTTGGCTGACATCAGGAAGGACAAGCAAATAAGACTTCCTGCTCTCAGCTCACAACAGTCCAGAGTGTGAACAGGTTGTGCAAGGATTCTCCACCCTGTGCTAGAGCCAGTTGCTGACCCTGTAGTCAAAGTGCTGTCTTTCCACCCGGGCTGGCTCTATGCTTTTTGCCGCCCCAAGCAGTGAAAAAACCTGCCGCCGTCAAATTGCCGCCGCGGACGGCAGGAGAGAGAGAAGTTGCCACCACGGCCGGCAGAACGGAGAAGCTGCCACCGAATTGCCGCCACTGCGAAAACTCTGCCGCCCCTTTCTTCTGACCGCTGCTCCAAGCACCTGCTTGGAACGCTGATGCCTGGAGTCGGCCCTGCTTTCCACCCATGGAGTGAGGAGAGTGGGGTCACAATCCAAAAG